CGCCGCCCACGCCGCCGCCCACGCCCCTATCCCCGTCGGCGCCGCTACCAACTCCGCCCCCGCCGCCGCCTCCGCCACTGCCACCACCACCGCCCTCGCCAACACTACCGCCGCCCGCGCCTGATGTTCGCTGGTGACGCAGCCGCGTCATCCGCCCCCGACGACGCGCATACCTACGTTCCTCAGGTTTATCACCGGTTGCAATTCGCATTTCAAGGGAACAAATATTTTTTTTGCGTAAAGATTACATTTGTTCGAAGACGAATGAAGTAACCAGGTTCCATTGTACAAACATCACATTTTTTATAGCCTCTTATATAGAGACGGTTTTTCGTTTAGAAATGGATTCGTTTCACATTCGAAGCTCATATCTCTAACTATGTTGCCCAAGTGGAGTTTGAAAAGCAGTGATTTTTGGCCCGTCTAACCAGAAACAACAATGCAGAAATTCAGATCCTACGAGTGAAATAAAAAAAGGGAAGTAATAAGATAAAAATATATTAAGCTTCTAATAAATAGAGATAAGGACCTGTCTATTCCTCTCTCCCCACCACAGCTTCGGTGAAGTAAAATAAGCGTATATTACTGTTATACCTATCAAATCTGATCGAAAAGGAGAATTTGTAATGGCAAAAAATTCTTCTTAGGGGAAATAAGGCCGACTGTCCTGTGTTGTAGGTTTACTGTACGTAAAATATCCTCAAGTCTAAAGAGCCTCTGAGCTAAATACTAATAGCCTTGTATAGTCAGTCGAGTGATACTTTCTTTCGCTGGCGAAAGAAGCATAGCAAAATATCTGTGGTCAGGAAGAAGAGCAGACCTGATGGCCTGACCCTCACTAAAACCGCCACATCAATGAATGAAATAAATGAATTCATAACTCTTTAAAGTTGTACATTATGTGACCCAGTAGCTTAGTTGTAAAACTCAGAATTTTAAAAAACATTTTTTTGAGTTACAGTACATGCTTTTACATTAACACAGAATCAAAACCAGCTCATCTTAATACACTACGGTTCTCTAGCACACTTGCACCAGTACATGGCAGTCTTGCGTTTCTGTTTAAAATATTTTTTTTGTATTCCAGCACTATAAACGACCTTTACTGTTGCAAGATATCTTTGACAATAGGGCATTTTACGGCACTAATAAGGTGTATCAGATTTTACGGCACGAATGATTGAGTCATCACCCATTCAGCCAATCGCAGCGAGAGAATCAGGGCAGGTAGAGGTATACGGAACAGTCGGTCATCGTTTTCTCGCACAGATACCCAAGACGTCACAAAAAAGTTGTTTTGCAAAAATAGTTTGATTCTCTTATAAATTGATAATGCTGTTATACAAAATAGTATATTAGGCAATTAGTTTATATTGTTGTCCTTTTTTGCACGAATAAGAAGATATTACTAAACGAACGACCTTAGAATTGAGTTTGGCAATATCTTCTTATGAGTGCAAAAAAGTAACATTATAAACGAGTTGCATACACTATTTTTTTGTATAACAATATTATAAGGATTTAAGGAAGCGAAATTAATTTGGAGGTTAAGTGGGATAGCGTGAAGGTAAGGTTCGTGGTTGTAGTAGTTCTCGAATTCATGTTATGACGTCATGAATTCTACCTAAGTAACTAATTTGTTTACAAATGGCAATTAGTTTGAAAGTCACGATTCAAACATAATGGATTTGCCCCGAGAAATTGTGGAAGAAGCTGCGAAAGCAGAAAATGCTTTGATACCGACAAAGTCGTGCAAACTTTTTGAGAAAGAGTACTTAAAGTTTAGGAAATGGATGAATGAAAAACATGCAAATATATTATGCGAAGCTGTTGTTCTTTCATTTCTGTCGGAGCAGGTTGGTTTAATACATACTTCTTTAAACATTAAGTCCACAGCATGTAAAGCGTCGACACTATGGTGCACTTATTCTAAATTAAAGGCAATGCTAAAAATCAAAGACAATATTGATACTGAAACTTTTCATAAAGTTTACTTATGTAACAAGCAAATGTGGGATATCAACCTATAAAGGCAATGGTATTTTCCCAACAAGATGTAAACACATTTCTTACAAAAGCTGATGATGAAACTTTTCTTTTAATGAAGGTATGATAATGACAATAGCAATAATAGTTAAGTTTCATGTATTAACTGGTGTATTGGATTAATAACTGGTATGATTTTCAGGTTGTTGATATATTTGGCATATTTGGTGCTTGTAGAAGTGTCGAATGGTACAATTTGTGCATCAACGATGTGAAAGAGGAAGGTTCTGTTTTAATAGTAAACATTAAAGTGACAAAAAATGGCAAACCCAGAATATTTACTATCGTATCCAGTGAAGAATTATATTGAAGTCTGCAAAAAATACATTTCGTTAAGACCCTTACATTTTAAACACAATAACCTTTTCTTGTTTTACAATCGTGGCAAACGCAGCTGCAATCCAATTGGTATCAATACATTTGTGAAAATACCAAAAAATATTGCAAATTTTTTAAAATTACCAAATGCAGAAAAGTACTCTGGTCATTTGTTTAGGAGAACATCCGCGACCTTTCTCGCAGATAATAGCGGTGATATCTCTACACTTAAACGTCATGGAGGATGGCGGTCTACAAGGTAGCCGAGTCATACATCGAAGAATCGGTGAATAACAAAATTCAAATAGCTAACAAGATATTGATTAGTGCAGAAAGCAAAGAAAAAATAAGCACTTAAGACAAATGCATGTTCTGGAGTGTCACTGACCAATTTAACAAATTGTACTATTAATGTGCATGTTCACAAGAATTAATTTGATGTTTTTGTTGTTCTTATGTTGTTCTTGTTATATTACCAAATAAAAACAAAATATAATTTTAAAGGAGTAATAAATTAATAAATCAGTTATTAAAAGTAAGTGTTTTCATAACGTATTTGATTTTACTGCGATAACACTGCAATCTATGTACATGCTTTACATACCACTAGATTCTTTAAACTCCCTAACTGATAATATATAGGGGCCGTGAGTATTACGTCAGCGATAGCTCATATGTCGTGCAGAAATAGCAATGACTTAATGATTCGTGCAATAATATGTCATATTATGAACGATTTTGTTAAAGGAAAAGAGTTGTTTATAATGCTGGTATACAAAAAAAATAGCGTATGCAACTCATGTATGGTGTTTTATTGCATTCATACAAATTTAAAAACTCGTTCCTAACGTCGTTTGTTTTCAAAACAGGTACTCATGCAATAAATCTTAACATTAAAACCTAATTGCTTGAACTACTATTATTGTACTGTTTTATTTTACTCGGAAATAGGGTGGTCTTAATTTTGGCTGTTGTATAGTGCATCTGATTGCTAGACAGTCGCTGACAGAATGTGAATATCTTCCTTATCGGCACAGTGGATCTGCAGTTCCGCGCATCGAAAGCTCGTTTTAAACATTTTCCCCTTTGTTTACGTATGCGTGTCGGTCACTGATAGGCTTCTACCTCATAATTCACCCTGACGAGTGTTTTCTCAAAATTAATGTTATAAATATCTAGGGCATGTAAGACTCTGAAAAGAATCACTTTTTGCCATTAAACATTTCGGGAGGGTAATTGCATATAAAGAGGTTATATAGAATGTAATATTATGCATGAAAAATTTGCTCCTGATTGTTTAACAACCTCCTATGCACAGGTGTTCAGCGGGGCAATGAGATCTCCTTCACTAAAAACTTGACCTGATGCGCATCCGTGCGTTGCCTAAACGAGAGTTGCCTAAACGCAGGTGCAAATGCCCCATTTACAAATAGACACAACTCCTTTGTACGTAATTTCCCACTGTATCATCAGGGACAAAAGTGATCATTTTCGATCTCTTTTGCCTTGCCTTTTGCCTTAGAAGTTTGTGAAATTTATTCTGAGGCACTTGTGCATATTCTAAGAAACACTAGTCGCGCTGTAGTCAGGAGCGACCGTGGTGTCAGATCGCTCACCTTCCACCTACGGGTACCGTCGTTTAAATCCCAGTAGGCCCATGTGGAACGTGTTGCGGTCAAAACTGGTTCGTTTTCTCGAGATACTCACTTTCCGATTTCCCGTTTCTCATTCTACCATTGCTCCATCATTCAAAATCCGAAATTTATCATCACTCATCCTTCAAAACCATTCATCTCGGATATGAATTGTATTGAATAGTTGCCTTTTTATGGTCGAAAAGACTAGTAAATGAAATTCATAATTAATATTAATATAATTTGCCTTTTATAGTACATATACATTATTATTATTTTTTTTATTATTATTATTATTGTAGTTACAATGTTACAATCCCGTAGAAGGCAAGGGCATCCGGGTGTCGTGTGGGTTACACAATGCTAGAATTCCCGAGCACTCATTTCGGACACTTCCTTATACAGACGCTATTTACACCCAAAAATAATGAAATATAAACGCTATTTACACTCAAAGTAAGTAACACTGTTCACTTTGTCACAGTAAAATTTAACATTGTTCGCTTTGATTTCACTGATTTCTAATTATCTAACACGTCATCTTACTACATTCTGCATTGGCATTATTAAGTTGGTGAGAAATTGAATAATCTAGTGTAGTTCGTTAATTGTGTGGGATTTAGACATGGTCTTTCACTTCCGACGATATTTTGCCGAGGTCACCATTGGCTGCCAAACAGTATCTTAAATTCGTCCGATCACCTCTTCTTCTGCCTTCCAACGTTACTCTTTCCGACTCTTGGATCCCAAGCGGTAATTCGGTGAGTCCAGCGGGTATGGGGAAGCCACAAGATGCGATTTGGCCTACTCCATTTCTGCTGTTTAAGTTTCAACGTTATTAATTTGTGTCATCGTGTGGTGTCGGTTTTTTTTAGTAGAATAGCACCAGGGGACTTCCCCCAGTCGTAGAAGGCGACTAATTGGAGCAGCT